ATCAACACACAATAGCTCGAAACCGAAAACGGTGTCCGTGGATATTAAATGGATTTCGTTCTTTGATAAAGTGCCAAATATCATATGCTGATTTTTAAATACTTGCGTGCCAATTTTCAACGAGTCATAATGTATGTTTTGTAATGGGCGTAATTTTAGTAAGTAACAATCTCGTTGTTCGATGTAAAAAATCTTTTGAATAATACCGTAGTGCATTTTGTTATGATGTTGGTAAACTACGTACGAATCTGAAAACGTTTTCGATTTGGAGCTATTTTCTGTTGATAATGATAAATGCTGACATACAACTAGAAGAATAAAATATAAAAATGATAGATTTGCTGTTCTATAATCATATTTGATTAGTCATGTGCGATTATGAAGCATAGTGCCGGTGCAAAAAAATCTCTAGAGCAGATGTGTTATAAATCGATCGTGAAAGCTTTAGCATTTGTGAGGTTTTGAGTAGCTGCTAAAACCAGTTTACGTAAAAAGACTAGTAACGACAGAGACAACAACACTCAAAATTATAAAATATTAGCTGGAACCGTGTTTGTCTCTATTGTCAACGTAGTTCTTATTTAGAGCGATTCTAGTCGGTTATTTAAATCCGCATAAATGATTGGAACTTTGCGATTTTACCCATAGTTTGTTTTCATTGGCTATATAGGCCTTACTCGATTTCATTGATTTTATTGTGTACTCCTTTGGAAATGATTTGTATAATAAATCCAAGTCATCTTCACAAATATTTTCGGTTGATATTCGTTGCTTAGGATGTTGTTTGTTTTTTGTATCTAAATATTTTATGAATGTCGAAAGATATGATGATGAACAATGATCTGTAGATGCGAAGTAAGCTTCTTTAAATAATTGAAGATTTATTATTAATTCGCTACCAACTCGTTTAGTACCATGAATGGATGCTGATAGATATCCTGTGCACGAACGAATAAAAAGGGATTTCATGAAAAATAGAACTTGGATGGAACCATACCGATAACACTTTCATAATTGAATGTGCTGTAATTGAACAAAGGACCAAAGTCGTTCACTGTTTTTGCAAAATGTTTTACTGAATGAATATTTTGCACAATATATCGTTCGTGATAAGGAAAATTATCAACAAAGCTAGATAATAATAATTCCATATCATTTAAATTTTTTGACGAGATATTTCTCGACTCTCCAATAGTAATACCAAATGCTAGCATTTTTAAATGATTATAATACACTTCGGGCAAATACTTTTTGAAAATCGGATATCCGATTAATAGTAAAACTCGAGATTCATTAGCTTTTAACTTGAAGCACTTGCTTAAATTTCGTGGTGCTCTTGTTGTTGTGCTAGGATAACGTATATTTGCAAGATCAATAATTATCAATGGAAGAAAACTCGATATTGACCATGGTTGCTTTTTTGATGATTCTATCCATAATTTCAACAATCTCTTCTATTTTAATAAATAATATATAACAACCTTTTTTTAAAATCTTTCACTACGTACGAAGGCACCATGATATATTGTATGCAATGTATCGCACATAAACGATATACCACGATCAACAAAGGCTAAATTAGTAAATTCACATTCGCCCAGATAACCATACGAATGTATTTTCTTGTCACAACATATAAACTGATGACCATTTTGAAGAGCATGGCTGATTTCATGCCATCGAGCATTTGATCGCATTTTCGGTCTGTCGTTTGCTGGCGTTGGAAAAATCCGAACATATGTGGTTGTTATTCTCTTTGACGTTGTTGGTGTTGCATGGATTTTAGCTGCTGTTGTATATCCTAAAAAGAAAAGAAAAGAGCACTATTTAATATTTATTTAGTAAAAGACAATAATAGAAAATGACCAGCAATTTCACATTTAGAACAGCCATAAAGTGCATTTGGCTCCGGTTGATTTTGTACAAGACTATTGGCAGGTTTGTCATTACTTATTCCAATAAGATAAACACGTAACATTTCACATGAGTTGACGGAGACTTGATATAAATTCGGTTTTTGTAATTCTTTAAGGCGTAAGACTATCGGAGAAAGCATTTTTTGCATGATAACTCGTGATGGCTTTTTCCGACCTACACTAATAGCTAGTACTAAAATGAAGTGAAAAATTTCAAAGAGGTATATTTTAAAGAATGACTTTTTACCAATAATATTTTCCATAGAAAAACGAATCGTTCGTTGAAGTTCGTTTATACAAGCTGTGAAAGTCCACATACTTTGTTCACTACTTGTATAAACTGCTACGCCATCAATATTGCATGTTAATGATATAAAATTCGGTTGACGCTCATTCTTCAATGAATATAGAATATTTCTGTATACATTCCCATCCTGAATATCATTCATTGATTCTTCAGAAGCTCTGCACCTTGTCTCTGGTAGATGAAGATCATTTTGGTTGATTGATCTTAAAACTTGTTGAATTTGTTGTTGAATATTCATTATCATAAATGTGTGAGGTGCTACTAATGTGTTTGTACTATATGAGCAATATGAATCAGTACATTTATTCGGATTATTTGATTCATTATTGCACTCTGGACAAAAATATAGTGTTAAATCAATCATTTTCTCTTTTTCTTTTGGCTTTTTATTCGATCTACTAATAATTTGTTTTAATTTGTGCCAGGATGATGGAACATGCGGCACTTTCAGTAATGTTAAAAGTTTTAATAAATCGATTACAAGGTTGTTTGTGCACTTATGTCTCTTTTTGATCATCAATAAAACTACTGAAATATCCTACAAAAGAACATAATCTCAAGAAAATGTACATATACTGATAGATTTAGAACTCCAATGAATTAAGATCGAATAGAAAGTGATAGTTATTTACTCGAATTTTATTACTTACTAGGTCATCATAATCACGAATTGGTATTGATGAACTTTCCATATTAAAAAATTCCTTACCGAATTTTACCTGTTTTTCACTTAAGTCTCCTTCAATATCTTCGTCTTCCTCAGAATCTTCTTCGTTTTCATTTTCATCATCATCGGTTACGTCCTTGTTGCCAGCATCGGCAAAATACTCGTTATCAAAATCAATATCCAAATCTGTATTATCAAAATCATCAGCATGTTCATCATTTGTGTTTTCATTAATTGACAAATAAGCAAATACGTCATCTATTTTCAGATCTGTTAATGCACCGTGACTACACTTTTGTTCTTGCAATCTCTTCACATTGACTTTATTCCGCATTCTCTTGGTTGATATTTCATATTTATGATTTGACCAATGTACGCGATTTTTCCTTTTAACTGTTTCATTTTTTTTTGTAAAATTTATTCGTGGTCTCATCTAAACAAGAAGACAATGAACTTGGTATTAACAAAAATACATGGAAAAAATATCCAGTTTATTGTGTATTTCAAACAGGCATGAGGAAGTTTTATTCCTATCGCTTATCATGAAGTAACGAGTGTGATGGCTTTCGTGAAATAAAATATTCTCTAGAGATCATGATTGTGTCAAACAGAACTGCAACTCCTAAATAATCAACAGAACTCGACAGAAATAGATCAAGGCTTATGTAAAAACGATTTTATACTTTAAAAATTCACTTTAACTTTTGAAAGATACCGCGGTTACAATCGACTAAACCGCGATTAATAAAACCGCTAACAACCACGATATATAATACCGCGGTTACAATCAACTAAACCGCGGTTAATAACACCGCTAACAACCGCGATATATAATACCGCTGCTACAATCAACTAAACCGCGGTATGTGGTATTGCGGTTTTTCTTAAAATGTTGGAATATTTTCTTACTCTGTTGATTTCAGACGTCGCTATCTATAGATTGACTTGTAACGATAAGACATTTCTTTTCAATATGGCTAACGAATTTCATAATTCATCTTTATTTTTATAGTACAATCTTTACATGGCACATAAATAGTTAATAGTTTCATGTACATAATTAACACGATTTCAAAAACAAAATAAAAACAAAAAATAAGTCATGATCTGTAAGCAACATTTACTATTATAAATAATCTAAAATTTTTTATCTAAAGTGCATCATCACTTCGAAAACGATCATAATTGTGAGTTGATAAATGTTCAATACTGTTAGGTTCGTTTTCATCATTATCTGGTGTACATAATTGTTCACCTTCCTTTTTTTTCAGGTGTCGCTGATTACGAAGGCAGCCAACAAGACTTTTATGAATTTGTTTTGGATTGGCTTGAAGTGCACCATAGTACCTTTCTAAGAACTCTAAAAGAATAAAGAAGCATATTCGATTATATAGTATTAAACACAAGATTTATTATTTGGCATACCAATTAAAACTTTTTCTTTAAGCAACACATCCTCTTCTAATTGATTCCAATTATCAACTTGTCGACGAGATTCTGGCACAATCTTTTTGAATAAATCACGAGCAATAGTCGTAATGCCACCTTTTGATTTTAGTATTTCATTCAATTGATCAATAGTTAATCCTAATTGAATTGCCTCGTTTTCTAAATTGCCTTCATATTTATGTAACGATGTTTGTTGTCGTACTTTGTCACCTAGATACAATATATATTCTTGTATAAGTGGTTCTTTTGGAATTTCTAAAAGAAAAATAAAAACCTTTTTTTTTTATAAAACTATTGTTGTCCATTACCAATGGTAGTTGAACGTAATCGTTTGATTTCTACAGTTTGCTGTTTAATTATTTTCGCTTGTTGTTTGACTTTAAGAGATAGATCTTGAATTCGTTCCAAATAAATACTATTCTCGTTATTTTGTTCAATCGTGCTTGATTTTTCAATAGTATTGAGTAAAGTTTTATTTAATGCATCCTCTAAATTTGGTTTTCGTACTGCTGATGAGAAGGAATACTCAATACTATCACTTGTAATATCATTATTATCTTCTTCATCTTCTTTATCTTCACACAAATCATGTAATAATGATTTCGACAATAACAATGTTGAATTCTTATCATATTGAATAGTTTCTGATTTTTTCTGTATCTTTGACGGCTTTTTTGTAACATCTTTTGACGATCTATCTCCAATAGTAATTGTTGATGCAGTAGCATATGAATCAAACAAATTGGTTACATGTAGTGACTTATTTCCATTTTCTTTTTGCTGTTGGCTTCTCTTTTCAAGTAACTCTTTTTTCTTGGCTATACAATTGTCTCGACTATGATCTATTGAAAAATAAATTATGCAACAAAGTCGAAAAGAAGTATAGAATACGTACGCATGTAAATTATCCCACCTTCAACATTACGTCGTTGTTCATCACGAAATGTAACTCTTTGGTTGAGAACCAATTTTCCAGTGCGTAGTGCAGGTGGCAATTTATCTTGAGAGACAATTAATAAATCATCATTTATTTTATTTTGAAATAATATGTAAACGTTTAACTGCCCATTACTGTTCGTTCGTTGAAGAGAAGGAGGTGCAATACTTGCAGCCATAGTAAAAATCTGAAATAAATAAAAAAAATAAATAATGAAGTCAGTTAAAAACGAAAAGTTATCAGACGTTAGTGAACATATTTTGAACCAGAATTTCTCATTAAAAAGAAATTATCAATTTAAGGAATAATGTTTAATGCATCTAACGAATGACAATGAAAAGTATTTTCTTCGTCGGACTGATTCAATTGTTTCCTACATGAATTGCATAAAGGAAAGAAAGAACGAATAATCGTCCAATGCATTGTGCATATTGATCATGCACTTTTCTTCCAGTTATAACTGTCGCTTCATTATCTTTTTCTTGAATTAAAAATAGATGTCGTCTCCTTCCAAGAAAATATACTTATATCACGTTGAAGCAAAATAATTCAACCAAATCAAATACAATCCAACC